CTCAGGGCACAGGCAATACTGCCTTCTCACCTGAGAGAGGATTCTCCGATTCCTACCAAAAACGAGAAAGTGTAGCCCTGAGGTTGACTCGCTTTTATTATGTTCTACTCTTCCTCTCTCCGTACTTGTATTCCTGCCCCCCCCCCCCCTCCCTCCCCCCTCTCATTCCCTCTATCGTGACGTGTCGTCCACATGTATCAAAGGAGGCGAAACTGCCTGATTGTGGTGCGACGTTTATTTATTTATTTATTTATTTATCACAGCATCTCATAGCACAGTGAGAACACCGGCCACTACAAAGAGAGAGGGTGTTAGCCAACCACGGCAAGGAAGGGAGAAGGGGAGGAGAAGAAAAGGAACCGGCATGGATAAGCAGTGACGTTAAATAAACAACAACAATAACAACAACAACAATCAATTTATCTCTTATTGGCGATGGTGCCATCGTGAGAATAAAGAATTCAATTCAAACAACAACAACAACAACAACAACAACAACAACAACAACAACAACAACAACAACAACAACAACAACAACAACAACAACAACAACACCACATAAAAGCCAGAAGGGGAGTATGCATCCTATTATTTTGTTCCTAGAGAGAGTCAGTGGCCCAAACTGCGGCCAAGATAGTGGCGCACATGTTTCCTTGAAATCTTGGGGGCTTTTGCACTGGGTTACAGTGAAACATGTCTAAGACGACATATCAATTATCAAGGGACCTTCAAAGTATGGTCTCTGATATCAGGTGGTCTCCTTATCCAGGGTCATTAGACTGGAAATAGCATCCTTTGATCCTGGTTTCAGTGCTTTTCTTGGACAGGTAAATGTTGAGTCACCTCCACCATTACGCTGCGCTCTTTAGCCGACTAGACCCTCCTGCACACAACCATCACCACTGCGAGGACACTTCCGTAGACGATATTGATAATTCCTTCAGACAGCTGTTTCGCTAATATATACATGTACATGTAGCTCATCAGTGAAGTTAGATGTTGAATAGAAATATAGACCAAACTGCTATTACATGTAGATCTACAATGTGTACATATGGGTTTCCACATACAAAACTGGCATAGCTGTTGCGATAACGCGGACAGGTGGTCACCTTTCCCGAGTGGTCGCATTGACAGGTTTTACTGCACCTCTAATCTCTGTGCGCAGTTGTGCCTTTTCGGTATAACGAAAAGGTGATGTTCCTTTGCTAGGATTACTAGCCATTCACACTTGCCACGTGATCGTTGCCACGGTTTGACCCAATCAGAGCGGTCACAGGCTGGGCATGAACCTCTGATCAGCTTGTGAGCTTCAGGAGGGATGACCTGAATCAACAAAAGATGAAACTTCACCTTGGTCGACATGAAACTTCAGAACTGAGAGCCGAGAGCGCACGGAGCTGGAACTTCAGGAGCTGGAACTTCAGGACCTGAAACTGTGTGAGCTGAAACTTCACAACGAAACTTCAGAACGAAATTTCAGCCGTACCGTGCGCGCGGTCGAGGACTTGCCGAGAGCGCACGGAGCCTACTTCAGAACGAAACTTCAGCCGTGCGCTCGACGGCTTGCCCGAGAGCGCACGGACGTGGAACTTCAGCTTGTGAGTTTCTGCCATTGTTGTGCAACGAATGCCATAAAGGACTTGAGAACTTGGGCAGGCAGGCACTCGGTGTTTCTAGTTGATGTATTTCAAGTTCGATTTATGTAGATTAGTGCAGTACAGTGGCTTTGTTTGCGCTGCTAGCATGCTGCGGGTGCGCTTGCACGTGCACGTTCTGCTGAGGAGATCGTTGTGGCTTTCGCTTGTGCTGTCCTGCGTGGGTGGCAGTGTGAAATACAACCAGACATGGATGTCAGGGCAGGTATCGTTGATTCCGGCCCTCGAGCGGCCCGCGGCCTTCGGCCTTGGGCCGCTCTCGGGCCTGAATCAACGTTCTGACATGTCACATGACAATCGACATGGCAACAGCGAATCCTAGCGCGACTTGCCGTGCTTTGAATCAGCCACTGAAGACCTGTGAGCGCTTGCAGGTCTCCGATTTTCCAATCGGAGCACGCCCAGGCGCTAGGCGTGCTCCGATTCAGCCATCAGAGGCCGCTTTTTTTTTTTGCTGTAGTCACTGCGAAGAAGAGAAGCTGAACTGACCTGGTTTTTAGCTGACTAGACCGCCCTTGTTTTATCTCTGTGTTGTGACTGTGTACATTAGTCATTATGTAACATGTCTGAAGTACTAAACTGGCGACTAGTTGTGTTCCTTGTCTGGTCTAGTGTGCGTGCCTTGAGTAGGTACTAGGTATGTGTGAAGTACTACATGTAGTAGTACTAGTAGTACGAAGTAGTTCGTGCAATGCATGTCAGAAATGGTATCAAAGCATTCGTACTCGGACTCAAGTGCTAGAATCGGAGCCCTCCGCGCTAGCGCGCGTCGGGCTCCGATTCCGCACTTTCGTCCTCGTACTCATGCTCGATTCCATACATACTGCCCTGACATCCATGTCTGATTCTATACTTCATCAATATCCGATTTTTGTGGCAACGTGTGGAGGTCGACCGGAGACTGTGTGGTATAGACTACTACACTGTACATGTAGTATGGTGATGTACAATGTAAACACAACATGTACATGTACATAGCATGGTCAAACCATAATAAATAAAGTGGCTGGGGCTGGTCGCAACGAGATCAACACAGTCATAACAGCGACTGTGTCTGTGGCTGTGTGCGGCACAAGCATCAGCAATAGGCCTTGGCGGATAATGCCGGCAGAAAAATTGGCAGAATTCGGTACTTTTTCTGGTACGTTTAATGCATGTTTGGTATGTGGATAAAAAAATGGAGCAGAATTCGAGGAATTGCCCGCCATAAGGTTTGTATGGTTCTGCCAATTTCACTGCTTTTCGAGCAGAATCTGCCACCTTTTCGAGCATTATCCGCCAAGGCCTAATCAGCAATCATGGTAATAGCCCTGCCTACAATGTAACATGTAATGAGCGATTTAGAGTAAACATCATTTGGCACGTCCGCGAAAGTGTCCCTTAGGAAGTTAGGGCCTGTCCAGACTAGGTAGAAAACCACGTAAACACGCCGTAAACATGCTTGTTCCCAAGGTGAGTGACGAAAAATGGCCGATAACGGGGAACGTGGGATTCACGCGGAACGTGAGTCGAGGACCCCTGTACAAAGCACGTTTCTCATCTACGTGCCGTTTTCGCAGTGTTTGTTGGGAGAGTCGATCGGTGGAGGTTTCGGATCGCATTTTTTCTTGCTGTTTCCAGCTGCTGCAGCTTGTTTTTGCTTTGCCGTTTTCATAATGCCACACGTCCGTTTCAGCTACGACTCTGAGGCGACATTGATACAGTCGTGGCTGGACATGCAGAGAAATCCTGGGGTCTGGAGAAGAGGAAGGTGTTGTAGAGAGAGAGAGAGAGAGAGAGAGAGAGAGAGATAATTCACTGACGAGCGAGTATTTGAAACTGTTTGGATAGGAAGTAGAACCCTGTTCAGTTGTGATGAACGAAATAATAATTGACGACCTGAAGGCCAAAGCCAGCGACTTTTACTGGAAATACACGGCGGCCACAACCATTAGTTCATCAAGCGATGCTATAGCGGGCCTCGACCGTGACGCCGCGCTGCCGCGAGAGTGTGGCCAAATTTCCGTACCTGGAACAGAGTTCAGCTTCATCAGGGTGATGTTCCTTGCGCTCGGCGTCAGTCCTGCCATCGCTGGGCCGCCACTCGTTTTTGTAGCTAGCTGGGTAGGTCTAGACCAAGCCAGGGAGTGCTTGCCTGGTCTACAACACGCTACAAGTACAACTACAAGTCACTTGTGTGTCTGCCAGTAGTGCTAGTGCATCCACGGACAAAAATGAACAGGTACACGTAGTGGTACAGGTACTAGGTGACAGAGCGAAGTGTGGACAGCGCACCGCGTGTACTTCACGTACTCGGAAACGGCACGCCGTTTTTATTACCTAGTGTGGACAGGCCCTTACACGTTACGTTACAAGCTTGTCTGCGGAATTATTTCGGAATCGGCTAATCAGAATAGATGCCCACGCATTGTGCATGATTGTGCACATGATAGATCTACAGTCATGATGGAAAGTACCGGTATACATCATGTACAGCTGTACTGTATAGTGAGTGCGTTCGATTACACACTTGAATCGATTCATGAATCCATTCGCATGCATTCAAGTCGTTCGATTTCATGTCATGAGCCCTGGAATCGATTCGGAATCCATTCCCTCTTATTCACATGGGGTGATGTGAATAGCGCGAATCGATTCATGAATCGATTCGTGAATCGATTCGCGCGTGTAATCGAACGCACTCAGTGAGTGCGTTCGATTATGCCCCAGAATCGATTCATGAATCGATTCGCGCATCACCCCATGTGAATACTAGTAGGGTGAATGCCCGAATCGATTCCAGGGCTCATGACATGAACATCGAACGACTTGAATGCATGCGAATGGATTCATGAATCGATTCACGTGCATAATCGAACGCAGCCAGTATTAATTAAAGTTTTGAACGGAATCGAAAGAGATTATTAATTTTGTCGTAAATCGTAAAAAAAATCGTAAATAGCGCTGCACTGCAGCAGGAACTCCTCAACCGGCAGCGAATACGTGTGGGCAGCTGACCCCATGCATGGCGATAATGGCCCAGCACTGGGCCAGCAGACTTCGTCACATCCGCACATGTGCATCCGCACCATGTATGTGCATTATGTACGAGTGCTGGCAACTGAAATCCGACACCCTGAGCGGTGCGCTCACATCGCAAAGAATGTGAACCCACCGCTCAGGGGGTCGGATTTCAGTTGCCAGCACTGTTATCTACATGTATGTGCATGTAATGGACCAGCGCTCGGTGGTGTGCTGGGGTGCGCTTGCTGGGCGCGAGGAGAGCTCAAAAGAGCTGCCCAGCTCCCTAAAACTAAAAGCAAAGGTCGGATATCTACCCGCCTTTACCCAGATTGGCCAGAATCTGGAAGAAGTCCCTGACCTGACCTGAAGACGAGTAGAAACTGAGACTAGGCCGATAAATAAAAGTTTTAGAACAAGGCCTGGGTCTGCAGAAGTGGATTTCAAGCCGAACGATTCCTCCTGCATATACAGCTTAGATCTACAGCAGCCACCGGCACTGGAGGCAACCTGGCTCGTTCGCGAGAAGCATGCCGCGACCTCCAGCCGTTGGGTGTTTCTTTTAGTTGCAGAAAGCTCTAGAGCGGACAGGCCCAGGACGACGTGAACGCATGATCATCACACCTGCTTGGACTGAGTGGGAGCCACGGTACTGCAAGCACAAGCGTTACGCCCGATTGCACGACTACCGGATTGGTTTGTCAGGGAACTAACTTATCAAGACAGTTTAGTTCAGCCGAGGGAAGTGCCGACTCGTCGTCGTTACGAGTGCTCAGGCGGCGCGCGCGCTGTCCCACTCAGATTTGAGTCGCGGCTTTTGACTAGAGATCGTCTGCAAAGTGCAGTGCTACAGATTGATCGCAGAGCCAGGACTGGCAGTACAGGATAAGTGACAAGTCACTGAGGAGATCGCTCGCGATCAAACCTATAATTATACTCAGCCGGTCACACTGACGGCGTGATTTCAGGTTGATGCGAATTCAAGTTTTAGTGAGAAAAAAAGAAGAATGTGCGGCTTCCCATTTGGTGTTCTCGCTTCCCTTGTGGGATTGGCTGTGCTGCTGCGTAATGCGCCGGCCCAAGGAAGGTTGCTAGCAACCCTAGAGAAAAGGGTCATGCTGGGCCTTCACAATAGTCTAAGCCGAGGAAATGTCAATCCCAAGCCATGCGAGCCCCTGCGCCCTCTGCAGTGGGATGATACGCTGGCAAGAGTGGCTAATCAGTACGCCAGAAGGTGTATCGTTCAGCACAATCCAAGAAGGACCACGGAATACAACAGGCTGAGTGGAAAAACCTACCACAGCGTGGGTGAGAATTTCTTTGTGGATCCGAGACTGGATGAAGCAAGTGCCGTAATCTGGTCACACGGTTCATGGCACAGGGAAATCTCACAGTACGACTATGCAACAAATAGGTGCAAGCAGCACACTTGTGGTCATTACACTCAGATGGTATGGAGTGCAACTACTTCCATTGGATGTGCTACTCATATCTGCAACAGGCGGGGCTCGACAAACTGGCCATTGCCGAGCAGGGACAAGCTACGGATGACATTCTGCAACTACGGGCCGGGAGGTAATTACCAAGGACAGCGGCCATACATGGCGTGCCCACCGACTACGCCCGCCAGGCCGCCAGCTGGACTGGCTACAGCGGCTGGACCTGCTACAACGGCTGGACCTGCTACAGCGGCTGGACCGGCTACAGCACCCCCGTCGGCTGTCGTCCGAGCGGGCATTGCGTCAACCGTCCAGTCTCAGATCGTGCAGCTTCACAATACTATACGGCAACATGCATCACCACAGGCATGCCCTGCTCTAGGCAGTGTTGCCTGGGACGATGATCTTGCCAATGTGGCGCAGAGGTTTGCCCGCCTGTGCAAGTTCAAGTCCAATCATCACAGACGAAGGCTGGTCAACACTCGCAAAGACGTTACGCCGTATTTCGAGTACGTCGGTGAAAATGTATACCATAGTGCAACCGTTCCCGCCAATCTGAGCACTCCCCTCACGGCCGTTGCGGCCTGGGAGCGCGAGGCTTTGCACTACACGCTTGACACCGGCGCATGCGCTGGGGGTGGGACGTGCGGGAACTACACGAACATCGTTCAGAGAACGGTGACGGGCATAGGTTGCGGCTTTGCCGTGTGCCGTGCCCAGGGGTCCCGCAAGTACCCATTTGATGCAGGCCGGCACCCACAAGCTGCCCTGCAGTTCTGTTACTACGGCAGCAGAAGTCCTGAAGTCAACGTCTCCAGACCGTACCAGACATGTGCACGAACAACAGCAGCTGCCATACAGACCACCACTCCGACCACCACCCCAACCACCACACCAACTACCACACCGACCACCACACCAACTACCACACCAACTACCACACCAACTACCACTCCAACTACCACACCGACCACAACACCAACTACCACACCAACCACCACTCCAACCAAAACACCAACCACCACTCCTACCACAACACCAACTACCACACCAACCACCACACCAACCACCACACCGACCACCACACCAACCACCACCCCAACCACCACACCAACCACCACCCCAACCACCACACCAACCACCACACCAACTACCACACCGACCACCACGCCAACCACCACACCAACCACCACACCAACCACCACACCAACCACTACCCCAACCACCACACCGACCACCACACCAACCACCACACCGACCACCACACCAACCACCACACCAACCACCACCCCAACCACCACACCAACCACTTCCCCAACCACCACACCGACCACCACACCAACCACCACACCAACTACCACACCGACTACCGCACCAACCACCACACCAACCACCACACCAACTACCACACCAACTACCACACCAACCACCACACCAACTACCTTACTTCCCACTTTGCTGCACACGGCACTGGCCTCCATTCCGTCGTCAACCATGGACAACCCCCTGGTAACCAGCAATGCACCTGGCGTTACCATGCCAATAACTTCTACAAAGCAGGCCTCGCCTCCCTACCCGGTGGCAACCGATTTTGAAAGTCCGCCACAACGCACCAATGCATCCGTGACTTCACTGCAGCTCACCCATTCAACGGCCGCCTCTTCTGATAATACTAATAGGACAACGTTGCAAGCGCCATCGGACCAGATGCCGTCCGGCTTCTTCATCATACTGTACTCGCACAGCTCCGGAGGCAGCAGCCGGAGCACTGACAGACCGGGTGCTGGCATGCCGTGGCTCATTGCCGTTGTTGCAATACGCCTCGTGGGACTCGTCTTGTTGCCGTAGATACGCAACGCTTCGCGATACCGGCGTGCTGTCGGCCGCTCAGTCATTATATCGACTCAGCCGTCCCACCCATTCTTCATGTATCTATAGCTGCATGTACATGTACATGTACCTGCATAACGATGACATTGCACACACACACGTTGTGCGACGTGTTAGTCAGGTTGTCATGGATACGCATTGATAGCACTCCGCAGCATTATACTACTAGGATCTGGCCCGTAGGCTGTAGCCATGGATACACAACGGTGGCAGCACGCCGGGTAGGAATCGGTCCGTTGCCGGTCACAGTTGCAGTAATGTCGAATACTATTGATTGTGATACGCCGCGCCGAATCAGCACGTTGCCATAGATACACATTGATTGTAATACGCCGCGGCTCGTAGGATGCGGCCCACTGGCATCATGTTAGATGCATAATATGGTGTCTTTAGCTCTCGTCTATTATATTTTGAAAGTGTACCTTTGCCTTTTGGCCAATGTACAAACGGCTACTGTATCCTGCAGACCAGCCCTCTCGTGTCATATTTGCCGGGCCTGCACGCATAGCTAGAACAATGTCTTCCTCTATTTAGTTCTGAAGAGGCTCAGTGAAGCAGCAGATTCCTCTTCCATACAGAGTGGGATTAGGGCATCATAATATTGCGAAGCGCTATCAAGTTCTGCAGGCCTGATCATTCACTACAAAATAATTATATAATTATATACAAAGAGAGAATACATTACCCATGGATACGAGTTGTACATTAGTACTTGTAACTTGTAATGCATTTTATTTTTTATACTTGTATATTTTTTATTATTATTAATTTTTTTTATCACATTGCACATACATACGGAAGATTTATATTGCACAAGTCGCCAATGAAGCGTTTTTAAACTGAGGAAGATCGACATTGACATACCGTCACAGCCAGGAACCACACAGCGAACTGTTCAGAACCTAGTCATTGTGCTGCCTCCTCTTGTTCGTGTTCTTATTTCCTTTTCTGCTGGTCGAAGCTTTGCTGGTCGCATTAATTTTCTAACAAGCGCACTGCCATACTGTATCATGGCGTTCACCAGCTCCGCTTGCGTCAATTCCTTCCCACAAGACGACCCCAGGGGCGTAGCACACGGTACGGTCACTGCGGTGTTGACCCTACCACTTTCTGCCCCAGGTACCCCGTGAATCAATAAAATGCACTGGTTCGGGCTCTAAAATTCCAAAATGTTGGGCTCAGCCGTCCCTCCCCCATGAGTAAATCGTACTTCAGATGGCTGACCGCACCACACTAAAATACCTTCCCACGCCCCTGCATGGGACCCTGTTGATAATGAAAGGAGATACCATACACCACGCAATGTTTGGGTCACTAAATTTTCACGATTTCTCAGAACCAGCGAGTTTACGATGGCAAATTTTCGCGGAGCACTGCCATACACATACACCCACTGTTGAAGTTTGATTTCACGACGTGTTATGCTCTTGTCACAAAATAGAGAACGAGCGGTCTTTGCATGTAACGATCGTCTCCATCGCATTTTCCATCGACCGGGGCCCCCCTGCCTGGGTGGTGCAATGCACTTGCTATGCCGACCAGGCCACAACTCTAACCCGGGCCAACATCACCACGCGCAAACAGAAACGGCCCACCGTTCACCAGCTGTATCAGTGACAGAGGAGAGAGTTCAAAGGTTCTGCTCGTCAAGCGCGGCCAGGCTATAGAATCACTGAACAAGCCGCCAACATGTGCATTAACAACAGCAGCAGAAGAATGGTGTGAGAGAGAAAACAATGCAATGTGCCAGTGCACGCTGGAATGAGTTTAATAGACCAGAGTGCATATAATTTTTTTTTTATAGACACGTATTTTGTTAAAAACCAAGGCTAGCCACAATGACGTCAGTAAAGCCATGATCATGAGACATCTCAGGTAGCACGGTGGAGAAAGGTCGCAGTTTGGTAAGAGGTCGTACGAAGAAAAAAAAACTAACAAGAAACAAGCATTACAATAGTCAACAAGTGTAACAATAGTACCGTATTTTCCGGAGTATAGTGCGCACCTTTGTATAACGCGCACCCCCAATCTTCATTGGGGGTGCGCACTTCAATCTTCATTGAAGTACATGCATTTCACATTCGGAGCATAGTGCGCACCTGCGATTTAGGGCCTAAACTAGCACATCTAAAGTGCGCACTATACTCTGGAAAATACGGTATGCCAGTGCAGCAGTAGTATACTAGTATAACAATTGCACGTTGATCCAAGTAACAAATATAATGGACAAGTTAACTAACAATAACAAGTCAAAGAATAATTATGTTGTCTGCTCGTTGCCCCGACGATGCCTGACCAACCAGGCGATAGTCAGGCACGTGCACGTGCGCGCACGACTCACGCTCAAGAAATCAAGCGCTGACGTATGGATTTATCAGTCACAAAAAGCTAGTGCGGAGGGAGGGGGGGGGGGGGTGGCGGCTAGGGAAAGCAATAAGAGCGCAAGGAGCAGCTACATGCTAGTACTGGCGCACGGTCCCGGGGGGAGATGTGGTTTCTTCAGGCACCGTCCCCTCGAACCCCTATACAAACCTGTCTCAGCTCGTCCGGTATGGCTTGGCCGCTTCCGTGATGTTCCTCTGGGAGCCGTAGTAACAGGTGAACAGTTTCACGTTAGTGGGGTTGCCAGTGCCGTTGGTACGACACACAGCAGCACCGCAGCCCACATGCGTCACCTTTCTCCGAACAATGTTCTTGTAATTCCCGCACGTCTTACCAGCTGCACACTTGTTAGTCTTGGTCGTGTAGCTGTGAGCTTCACGAATCCAGCTGCCGAGAATTGATAGCAATGGATACCTCCATAAATTTGTAACGTGATTGTTCTCACCAACATACTGGTATCGTTGTCCGCTTCGCTTTTCAGTGTTGACCTCACTCTTTCTGGCGCTATTCGACTTGAACTCACTATTCGACCCGAACTTGCACTTCTTCGTGTAGACCTGGGCAACTTTAGCTAGCGTATCATCCCAGGCAAGGTCAGCAGGGGGTTTGCCGCTGGATGTATCCTTTCGCCCTCTCCGGCAGAAGTTGTGAAAACGTAACAGTCGGTCCTTGACAAGAGCACTGATTCCAAAGCTGACAAGTCGTTGGGGAGTGGAGGCTGGTGCTTTAGGACTCGGTGCTCTGGGACTCGGTGCTCTGGGACTTGGTGCTCTGGGACTCGGCGCTCTGGGACTCGGTGCTCTGGGACTCGGTGCGCATTTCTGGTACGGCTGAGCAGTGTTGTTGACTGTGGCATCCTTAGAGCCATAGTAGCAAATTAGCAAGGTTGCTTGGGGGTGCTGGGCTGCGCTAAACGGGAACTTCTTCGAGCTCTGGTGACTGCACACGGCAACACCACAGCCCACGCTCGTCACCGCGGCCTGGACCATATTCGTGTAGTTCCGGCACGTCTCTCCTCGTACGCATCTGTTTTTGCCAAACTTGTAGGACCGCGCTTCCTCGGCCCACAGTGAAGCTAGTTGTATTGCAGCCAAAGCAGTGTTTGCGCTGAAGTGCAAGTTTTCGCCGACATATCCGAATGGCGGCTGTGCTCTCTTTTTTCTTTGACCGTTGACTAGCGTCTGTCTGTTTCGATTAGACTTGAACTTGCACAAGTTGGCAAACCTCTGCGATACTTTGGCCAGATCATCGTCCCAGGTGACATTGGCTAGAGGAGTGCATGCCTGTGGTGATGCGTGTTTCCTGACGTAGTTGTGGTAGAACACGATCGCCGACCGTTCCGATTCGCTGATGCCGGAGCTGGACGGTCTAGCTGGTTGAGCTGGTCGAGATGGTCTGGCTGCTGTGGCTGGTCTGGGTGGTGGTGGTGGTGGTGGTGTGGGGGCGGCCGGTCGTGAGCACAGGTATGGCCGCTGTCCGATGTAATTACCTGCCGGACCGTAGTTGCAGAATGTCATCCGTAACCTGTGCCTGCTCGGGTATGGCCAGTTTGTCGAGCTCTGCTTGCTGCATACATTAGTAGCACAGCCAACGGAAGTCGTCGCATTCCACACCAACTGAGTGTAATGGAGACAAGAGTGCTGCGGCGTGCACTGATTCCTTGCATAGTCGTATTTTGATTTTTCATCGCTCCATGACTTGTATGAACGGATTACGACCTTTGCATCATCCAGTGTCGAATCTACATAGAAATTCTCACCCACTCCGTGGTAGTTTCTTCCACTCAGCCTGTTGTACTCAGTGGTTCTGCTCGGATTGTGCCGAAAGACGCACTTACTGGCGTACTGATTAGCCACTCTTGCCAACGTATCATCCCACTGCAGAGGGCGCAGGGGCTCGCATGGCTTGGGATTGACATTTCCTCGGCTTAGATTGTGAAGGCCCAGCATGGCCCTTTTCTCTTGGGTTGTGAACAACCTTCCTTGGGCCGGCGCATTGCACAGCAGCACAGCCAATCCCACGAGGGACACGAGAACACAAAAAGGGAAGCTGCCCATTCTCGCCGTGCCAATGTCGACACCGGCTGACGATGACTGTTCACAGGTGGAGGCGAATGAGCCGCCTCAATTACTCCTGTGCTCCGCTACGCTCTTGAATCGATATTAGCACATCCGATTGCGAGAGAGATTGCTCACGAACTGCCCTCGACGTTGACATCTACTTCTGCCTTCTAGCTTCTGCTGTCTACCCAGCTCTGGTCTAACCTCCGCTCTGCCATAACTAACTTGTTTCTACCGCATTGGCATTGCCTGAAGCCGGAGTCGTTTGCAGCTTCATGGCATGCGCTCTACTACCGAATCGTACCCCATGGCCCAGGATATCTCAAGAGCGACTTTACGGGGTCAACGGCTAGAAAAAGGAGCTCGTCAGCACTTATTTTGGACTCTGTGAGCTCCTCGAACGGTGCATTGTTCCGAGAGTTCATAACCCCTTGGACTAACGTTCTTTTGTGTACATAGGTGAAGCCTATAAGGTGAACCGTGCTAGCTCATGTAGAGTGTACGTGGCCGGTTTTGGGAGTTCGATCTTTTCTGCATACGGAAATTGCTGACTGGCGTTTTGTACTGTTTCTCTCGAGGTGCCCGTACATTGGCCAAGCCACATTGTAGCAGGCTAGGCTACTTTTGTAGACAGTCCAATTATTATTTTATTCCCTTCCCCAGATATTGAGCCTAATATGTACCGGATGGTGTACCCAGTGCCAGTGTGCTGACAGTGCTCAACACCGCGGAGGCAGAGCGTAATACAGAACAGAACAACCATGTTGCCTGATGATTGCGAGAGCATGAAACTTCAAGTCGCACCAAACAAGCCTTGATTGTCCTTGTTGTTCTGTTCTGAGCCTAATATGTATAAAGGTGTAAAAAGTAAACGGGCACATGGGTACAACCTACGACAAAGTAACTGTCCACCAATGTAACAAGGTACTGGCGACGGGCAGTCAGAAAGTGCGCAAACTCTGCACAAAACACTGACATATTACTGAGACATTCAACGGCTTGACACCTACAATAGGCTACATGTACATGATTATAACCTAACACTGGTTAAAAACCAGTATTAGATAAACCTTGTTATAGTTCACGCAATTGTTAGATTGACAGCATGAAACAAGGCGGAGGACATAAGGCCACTGTTTCCGAACACAGTGTCCTCCACCTTGTGCCATGCTGTCAATCTAACAATGCACAGTCATGTGTAAGTCCACCATCGATTTATACTTTAAAATTCTTGACAACAAGGATCGATGTTTTCCTTCGGATGCCCTTTATCGACTTGCACACACTTCTCCTCTTTCCGTTCGTCATAAGCACCATCTCTGTACGCTGGTTCATAAAATATTTCTTCATAAAACCCCTTCACACATGAAGAAGTTTCGACAAGCTCAACCCGTAACGCGCTCATCCTGCCTCTTGTGAAGTCAGCCCGGTATCTAAAGTCCCCCTTGTTTTCCGGTTACTCTCATTGGTTATCATTACCATACGGTCTGAAAACGTGTTCTTCTATTGGTCAGTTTAAAGATCTACTATCACAACTGAACTAGACGCAATGATTGCGCCTTACTCCCAAAGCCATGATGCTCCTTTACAAGAGCTACGTTCGACCCGTTATAGAGTATGGTGTTGTTGTTGTTGTTGTTGTTTATTTATTTTACATCGCATGGCAAACGGGCAGTTCTGCCCAATATTATGAAAGCGATGACAACCAGTAAGAAGAGTCAGAAATGAAGAGAAAATAAATGAAAATAAAAATACGAAAACGGAAGTAGCAATGAGGGGAGGCAGGGTCAAGACGAGCAGAAAAAATGGATCTCAAATTTACAAGTCGGGTCATCGTAGCATGATTCTATCGAGTCTCATCAGCAGGTTACGAAAGCCATTACATTTAACCGAAGTAGAATACGCGTAGCATGCGTTTGAATTCACGGACAGATACTATGGACTTCATACAGTCGGGCAGGCCATTCCAGAGTCGGCAGCTGGCTAGAAGCGGTCGGCATGCGCCAGAAGCACTGTGGGCCAGGGGGAGGGGAAGGTTGCGTCCCAATTGACCTCGAGTGGTCATGCCTGTCGGCGGGCCTTGCAATACAATTCGGGACGACAACAGCTCACTGACGATTCCAGAACGGATTCTAAATGTCAGGAGTCGGAGCTTGCATTCCCCTCGTTCCAGCACTGGGCAGACACCCAGCCTGGTGTACAGGGGAAGAGTGTGGGCCAATGGGTGCTCATCGGCCACGCAACGGATGCAACGTTTATCCAGTTTGGCTACTGTGTTCCGCTGCTCAGCGGACAGTCCTGGGAGAAACGCATTCGACGCATATAGAATATCCGGTATGACAAGGGCAGAGTAATACAGCATCGCCTGCCGCACTGTTAGGCAGTGCCGGATCTGGCGGAGGATCCGCAGCTTCATAGCCGTGCGTCGGACGTTGTGGTGTGGGCGGTACGGCCACCTGCGTCTGATTTGTGTGAGCTAGACAAACTCCCGATGAAGCAAGATTCATCAGGTCGTACTTGCGACGGCGTAAGTTTCGATTTGCCTTCGACACGCCAAAGCAGTACACATCTCTAGGCATAATATGCGGATAAGGCCGGCAGAAAAATTGGCAGAATTCGGTATTTTTCTGGTAAGTTTCATGCATGTTTGGTATGTGGATAAAGAAATGGAGCAGAATTCGAGGAATTGCCCGCCATAAGGTTTGTATGGTTCTGCCAATTTCACTGCTTTTCGAGCAGAATCTGCCACCTTTTCGAGCATTATCCGCACACCTCTACACATCTCCAATGCGCAAATAAGTAAAACCTGTCAAGGTGACCACTCGGATAAGGCGACTGTAACAGTATAGACTTGATTGATTGGAGAATTCGTCGAATGATGTTCAAACCAGAGGTTATAAAGCAAAAGAAAGGTGAGAACCGCAGGAGTGAGAATAGTAGGAACACAAGGTGTTACCATAAGACAAGCAAGAAGTGTCAAGGTAAAACTATTACACTCTCCCGGCCCCATAGGAAGCCCAAGGTTCTATTAGATAACACAATCCAGTTAGGAGATGCAATTGTGGAAAGGGGAATATTAAATAATCACTCATGCACATGCATAACCACATTGAAGTGTAATCCAACTCAACTTCATCACTCTCACAAGGAGATGACGCAAAACTATATCAGTCTATAACATAATTATTAACTATCTCAGTAAGAGATGCATATGGCTCAGCCCAGTTAGATCAAGGTTGCTGTCATTGTGAGGCTAGATAGTTCTGCAGCGGTTTAATATTCCGACCAGACTCATCACATAGGTTGCCAGCGGGCTCCCACGTAGCTTCGCTGCTGGGGTAACCCTTCCAATGCACCAGGAAGTGTTGCTCACCACTGCGGTGTCGGTGATTCAAAACGGCTTCGACAACATAGCGTGTGTGTCCATCTAGATCTGTGAAGGGCGGAGGCGGGGGTTGGTGTCTTCCAGGAATTGTGTTCTCTTCGTAGCGTTTAAGAGCAGTGACATTAAACACGGGATGGCAGCGAAGTTCACGGGGTAGTTCCAAGCGAAAAGCATTCGCTCCAATCTTAGCCTGGATACGATACGGACCAAACCACTTGGGTTGCAACTTCCGAGAGGGCTGGCCACGAGCTTCCGGGGTCAGTAGAAAGTCTCTGTAGACAAGAACGCTATCACCAACCTTCAAATCACTGTGCGTTCTCGTCTGGTCTGCGTATAGAGCTTGCCTTGCCTGGGCATCGAGCATAGCATCTCGAGCTATCCTTAGTGCGGCTTCCTGCTCATGAAGCCAATCGACCGAATCACTCCTTTCCCCTCCCGTAAGAATGAATTCGGGCGGGGACTTAGGGTCAAACCCATAGTTCAGATAGAACGGTGTATTAGCTACAGATGACTGTTGTGAACTATTTATTGCAAACTCGCAGAGTGGTAGAAGCGAATCCCAATTGTCCTGTCTCAAGTTCACAAATGCTCTTAGAACATCTCCCACTTGCCGGTTAACTCTCTCTGTCAAACCATCCGTTTGAGGGTGGTTAGCAGTGCTGAATGCCAATTTAGTTCCTAGCTGAGAGAATACTTCTTTGAAAAAAGCTGCAGTGAATCGTGGATCGCGATCGGAAACAATGGTTGAGCTCAGCCCGTGCAGACGAAACACGTTTTGAATGTACAGTTGAGCGCTGCCCTTAGCATCAATCTTCGAGTTTGTTGGAACAAGATGTACGCATTTCGTAAGTCGGTCCACAAAGGTGTAAATTGCGTCGAAGCCACGAGAAGTAAGGGGCAATCCAACAATAAAATCCATTGAGATATCCTGCCAAGGACTATTAGGTATTGGAAGTGACTGGAGAAGCCCTGTTCGTGGCTGACCTCCCTTCGTTCGCTGGCAGAGATCACAGGTTTTGACAAATCTCTTGATATCGAGACCCATTCGGGGCCAGTAGAAAAAACGTGCTAGGCGGAAGTACGTTCGATCACGACCCGGGTGGCCAGCCGTTGCACACTCATGGTGTTCTTGAATGAGCTTTAACCGGACACCGCACTGTGGTATGCACAACCGGTTATTGGGGGATGCCTTGAGGTACAAGCGATCAGTGGATTCGTCCCAATAATAGCGATCATGCAAATTATCTCGGAGAGAATGCTTCAATCTTTCTATGATGGGAGTTAGCTCTTTGTCTCTCTGGTAGGCATCTGATATTGTATTGGACACGTCATCATTCATTGCTAAAGCATACTCAATAGCATTCAAACGTGGTACTGCATTCTCCACGAGGTTACTCTCATGGAGATCTGGGCGACGCGAAAGGGGATCTGCAGGGTTCTCTCTGCCGGGTCTGTGACGGACTGTGTAGTTATAGTCAGCTAGGAATTCAACCCATCGCGCCTCTCTCTTTGTAATGCTTGGTTTTGTTTTCAGATAAACTACCGCCATGTTGTCTGTAATGACCTCAAAGTGTTGAAAGAGGTAGATGCGCCAGGTCTTTAGCGCAAACACTACGGCCAATGTTTCTCTTTCTGTAGCTGTATAATTCTGTTCCGCAGCAGACAATTTTCGGCTAGCATAAGCCACTGGATGCCAGGCATCTTCCTCTAGTTCTTGGAGAAGAACACATCCCAAGGCGAAATCGCTTGCATCTGTTACCACTCTGAATGGTCGGTTCACATCAGCCAGCCGCAATAGGGGCGCATTCAACAAGGCATGCTTTAGCGATTCAAAGGCATG